AGAAGGAAAGTGTTACAACCTTTGAAGACTTTGATCCTCATGAGAGGTTCGAAGTTGATGAAGTGTGTCATGAAACTTTAAGGTAGAAGTTCTCTAAAGATATCCACCAACAACAAATCAACTTAATAAGACGTTAGTCTTCTTCTTGTAATAAAAGAATCTCTTAAGCTCTTAAGACAAAGAAACTAGTTTGCCTTAAAAAAGAGTTTTCAAGTATCATCTTCATCTTTATGTTCTTAACACTTTAAGAGACAAAAATTAGAGAGAATATGGAGATGGGAAGTCGTAAATTTTGTGGTTTTTGGCTTGTGAAAGAAGGGATAAACTAGTTCTTTTAAGTTTGTACTTTTAGCCTTTATCCCATGTGTCTTAGCACTTTAAGACCCATGATTTATCAAATCAACTAGCCATGCTTTCTAAGATCATAGTGTGTTGAATAAATTAATCAAAAGCAAGTCTTCTTTCTTCTTTATGGTCTCCTTGAATATTTTATAAAAAGAAGAATCTAGTTTTTATATAAAAACTCTTCTAACTTTTATAACTTATAAAACATATAAATCCTATAAGACAAAAAACCCTTTTGGTCCAAAAAGATGTACATGACATAATAAATCATACCTTATGATATACTATGATATATTTTGATACTTAACATTGAAAATTAATATTTTCATTAAATAAATAAATTACAATTAATTACAATATATATATATATATATATATATATATATATATTCATCATGAACCAAACTCTTATAAATAATATATGTGCATCAAGTTTTTAGTTTTTGTTAATATGACAATTTATGATCATATATTATCTAACAATATCATTCTATAATGATTCTTGGGCATATAGATATTTCAAAAACATTGTATTTTAAGAGCTAAATGCAAGAAATAGCAACATACTTTTATTTTGTTTTCTAATATACCATCTTACCTTCATTTCAACCCTAGCCTGATTTTATCTAAAATTTTGTTCATTGGTCATCCCCCACCCCCTTTTTTTGCAGCCTGAATACACATGTGTAGATGGAAACACAACAGTTTCCATTGTCTCAGCAACGATTCTTACTATATGCACTGTGTGAATTTACTTAAAAATATCATATTGAATTATATGTTATATGCAGTCTGTACATTTACTTGAAGATATCATATTGAGTTAATCGCTTCTTACATAGTCAATGATTTTTTCTTCCGGTCTAAACTCAATTGATTTGGATGTATAAAGCAAATGTGAACAAGAAAAATCCTTAATATCCTTTACTTCAGTAAAACCGGAAAAAGGAGCCACTCATCAAGTTGTACACAATCCATGTGAAATTTGTTTTAAAACCCAACAACAACAAAAATTATACAACACCAAAAAAATCGTCATAAGGCAAAACCCGAGCTTTCCTCCTAGTTACTATAATTTCAATATTAAAAATACTCGATTCATTTATTTGAACTAGATGTTAAATATTATTTTTTTAATGTTAGAATATAATATACTTGTTTTGTTACTTTAAATATAGTTTTAAAATCGAAACATAAATTAGATTCTCAACTAAACCCGAAAAAAGTTTGTCTAAATAAATTTATAATCATAACCACTCTAGAGTTTTAACTTATATCTTAATAATTAGTAAGTGTTTAAATTAATATAATATATCTTATGAATATTGGTCAATTCAATAGACTTTAACTAAATGACTTTTTATATTTCTAAAATTAATGATATTTACTAATGACTTTTTATTTATTAAGATATTTTAAATGCCACAAATATCATTTATATTATTTTATTTTATTTATATAAGTGTTAAACATATTTTATGTATAAGAATTCAAGTTATACGATTTAAGAATAATAATAATTTTTTACAATACTAATTGACAATGTTATTTCATAATTAATAACAATGACTTAAATATTTTTATCGAATTATTAAGATATTATATATTTATTATGAAAAACATCATTCATATTATTTTATTTTATGTATATAAATGTTAAACTTGTGTTTTATTATAAGAATTCAAGTAATATGATTTAAGAATAATAATTATTTTTTACAATACTAATTGACAGTATTTATTTCATTATTAATGACATTGACTTAAATACTTTTAACGAAATATATGTGTTATCAACTATTTTTTTTATTACATTACCGTACTTTTATAGTAATTTTGAGAATACATATTAGTTATCATCGTACAACGAATGAGAAGGCAAACGGGCAACAAGTTGCGCCGCTAAACCTTTTTGTATGGTGAATCCATTTCTCTTGAAGACTACATCTATAGATATAGGGGATATAACATTGCTATGCATGATCCGTTATACTCTACTAAAGAAGCTCCACTGCATCCGACGCAAGGAAATCAAACGTATCAAAAGAAAATGGTATGAATACGTGTTGATTTTCCATTCATGATTTCTCATGTTTGGTGACCTTGCATGTGACAGCTTGTAATGCAGCCTGTCCCGCCGTGAAACCCCCGACTATCTATACAAATATATTCCCGAACAACATGCAGAGATTCGCCTGATGGTTAATAAAGAATAGTAAACAATACATATAAATTGTAATATGGTAAATAAAGATAACATTAAATCCAAAAATAAGTTTTATGTAACATTCGAGTTTTGGTATGTTTCCTTCTTAGCCCTTAATGCAAAATTATTAACATTTTGGTCCTTGGCTAGTACGCTTAGCGTACTAGCTCTTTGCTGATCGCGGACTTCACCCTTATACGTTGAGCGTACGCTAGGCGTACACATGGTTTGGGCAAACCCTAATTTTTGGGTTTGCACCCTATTTAAACATTTTAAACCACCTATTGGACATTTATTGACCAACCTCCATCCTCCCTATACCCTAAAAACAAAACCCTAAGTGTATTTGGTGAGATTTAAGCTTGAAAGTGAGTTTGTTGGTGTTTTGTGGTGAAGAAGAAAAAGAGGAACACTTGGAGGAATAACTTGAGCCTGTAGATCCAGAGTTACCTTCACATTTGCAAGCCTTTTGAGGTAAAAGCTCCCACCTTGATGGTCATTTGTGCTAGATCTATTTTATGGTGTTATTTATGCATTTTTGAGTCTTTTGAGTTAAGGTTGAGCTTTTGATATACTCTAGAAGCAATGGATGTTAGATCTTAGCTCCATGGAGGTCTCTTGTTCATAAAAATGCAAACTTTGTGAAAGATATTGGTATATGCAAGTGTTAAGAGCTTTATTAAGCTTCTTTTTGAGTGTTGGGTCCCATTAAGTCATGCATGGGTGTAAAGTTGCCAACTTTGCGTATTAAGTCACCCTTAGGGACCAAATATGAGAGTTTGGCAAAAGGTCTTAACTGTTTAAGTGCTTAATGAAGTGGTTTGGGAGCATGATGTGTACGCTGGGCGTACGAGCTGAGTACGCCCCACATACTCAACAAATGGACACATGGGCTTGACCTTCATAGGTTTGGGCCATACTTGGGACTTTTAAGATTGGGCCTTGTTGGGCCATTATGCTTCTGATTTTGGGCTTTTGCTAGTATATTGGACTTCCTTGGTTTAGGCCCATGATGGGTTTTGGGCCCAATTTAGAAGACTGGGCCATATTGGGCCTTGGGTTATCATCTAGGATTTGGGCCTCTCGAGTAATTGGGTTAGGCCTTGGTTTTGGGCCAAGTAAGGAAAAATGGTAAAATGGTCTTTTACCTTGGTTATGGGATAAGTAGCTTAGATTCTTGGTTATGGGTCAAGATCCAATTATTGATTGATATTATTTTGATGATGTCAGCACGGGGATTTTCCGGACCAACAGACCAAGATTCATTTGAGTGTTTCAATAGCTATATGTGAGTTTTCCTCACTGTGTTTAGCGGGTCGAAGACACCAATGCCGGCCTATGGTTTATTATGTTCAAGATGTTAGATGTCTGCGTGACTCTTGCATATGTTATGTGTTTATATGTTTACCCGGGGGGGGGGGGGGGCGATAAACATTTTGTATGCTATTTATTTTTGTGATTATTGCATGTGTTATGTGTTTATCTGTTTATATGTTTATATGTATACCGGGTGGGCCCCGATGACTAACATATCTGTATACCGAGCGAGGCTCGATGCCGGGCGGAGCCCATTATATGTTATTATGTATGGTATGTGATATTTTGGGGAACTCACAAAACTTTGTGCTTACGGTTTTCAGTTTATGTTTTCAGGTACTTCTGGTTCGAAGGGGAAGAGTCCGAGATGATTGCAGTGCACGCACCATCTCGTTTCGCATTTTATGTTACTATGATGTCGTTGGTACACTAGTTCCACCATGATTTTTATGATGATGTTTTGGATAATAGTTTTATTAATTAAAAAACGAAATTTTTTAGCTTTAATTTTTTAATCGGCTAACAATGGTCACAAAGATATGAATGAGGAGTTTCAAAGACATAAGGAGACAAAGAATGTGAATATTCAAATGTAAATCATAAGTAAAACTGAAGGGTTATTTTGCTTTTGTATTGTACAAGTAGAGAATGGTGTGCTATCTAAAGACTTTAATTTTTTAGTCGGGTTAACCTGCAACTTAAAATATTTTTAAATATCAACCTTAAACCTGGACCTAATTAGAATCCAGTTTTCATTATTATTATTATTTTTTTCGGGTTAACCCGAATAACCTGATTAGTAATTTTAAATCTATTAAACTCTACCCTATTTATCTTATTCAGATTTGGGTCGGGATAATTGAGTTTAGATTTTTTTGACACCCTAACCAAACGTGTCCTAACATTTTTATAGTTGTCATGAAATAATATTTTTTGGAAATCACTTCGTTTTTGGATGAGATACATAAAATAAAAGAACCAAATTTGTAACTTACTCAAAATAAAATCACACTTTTAAAGAGTTTTACAAGTTCATCGTCACAAAAAATTTGCCGCCTATTTTCCTCTCCAAGGGTTTCTGTTTTCAATTGCAACTTCACACACTCGCTAGTTACTTCTTGTAACACGGTTAATGGCATCGGCTGTTCCTGTTGAGATGATTGACGACGATGACGTAAGCTACTCCATAAGCATCTCTCTCGCAAAGCCCCATTTCATTTCTGTCAATAATTCTGGATTTCATTTTTCGTTTTTCTTACACCAGGATTTTGATTGGGAAGCAGCCGTTAGAGAGATTGATGTCGCCTGTGGTGAAGCCATTAAACAATCATCATCTGGAGTTACTACTACTACTACTACCAGCGCAACCATATATCGAAATTCTAATTTACATACGGGTTCTTACCCTAAGATTGAAAACAACAAACCCTCTTCTTCTCGTCAATCCACACTTGATAGATTCATTGGATCGACAGGCTTGAAATCCGCAAATCAGGATGCACGACATGATGCCCAAGATAAGGTTGAGTGCAATGACGAAAGAGTAAGCGACGTTAGCATTGACCCAGAGGCCGCACAAACCTGGATATACCCAGGTATCTGTTTACTTTACCATAGCTTTATATATTGCAGAATTGTCGCTCTTTAATCCTTTTGGGGTCTACTGATTTGTTGAATTTTGATTATGGGGCAATTCAGAACATCCATCATTATAAAAAAAACTAATCTTGTTACGCTTCCTTTTGATGTCAGATCCTATCAACCCAAGTTAACAATTAACTAGTTAATCACTACAAATAACTTGCTTTGATTTCTGCTATTGGCATCGTTTCTTGTCCTCAAGTGATTAATCAAAGAACCCCCAATGCTTAATTGCTCTCCAAGAATTGGTTTTCCGTAAATGATTTGCATTCTGAAGCTTATACGATTGATCTTTAGTGGCAGAAAATGTCCCTGTTCGTGATTATCAGGCATCTATTACCAGAACAGCTTTATTTGCAAATACATTGGTGTCATTGCCTACAGGATTGGGAAAGACTCTTATTGCTGCTGTTGTAATGTATAATTACTACAGATGGTTTCCTCAAGGTGATGATATGCTTAATTTCCTTTTGCAAGTTGAATCCTACATATATCTCTAAATCTAGAATGTGTGTTTTTGTTTAATTAGATTGGAAATGTAGTCCTTATGTGATGTTGTATTGCAGGAAAGATTGTGTTTGCTGCTCCTTCTCGCCCTCTTGTTTTGCAACAGATAGAAGCATGTCATAATATTGTGGGAATTCCACAAGTGAGATTTCTTTTCTTCTTTCTTCATACATTGTCCAGTTTAGGTTCTTACATATCAGATTTGTCTTGTTTTCTATTTTTAAGAAGTTTATATCAAACCGATTGCAGGAATATACAGTCGATATGACAGGTCAAACAAGTCCTTCAAAAAGATCAGGCCTTTGGAAAACTAAACGAATCTTCTTCCTTACCCCACAAGTTCTTAATGAGGATATAAAATATGGCAAGTCCCTTTCCCAATCCAATACATGCCAAATGTAGTACAAGTTTTCTACATTTTAAAATGAGGACATGGTATTTTTTTTTTAGTTTTTTAAAGAAAGTGTATAATGCAGGACGTTGTGATATGAAACAACTAGTGTGTTTAGTGCTTGATGAAGCTCATCGTGCAATTGGAGACTATGCCTACTGTGCAGTTGTTCGTAAGGTATGTTCAGGGGTTGTACTTTGTGCTTTGAGATTGGTACATTACATCAAGTATGTTTCTTTCACTGAGATTTTGAAATTTTGTGATTTCTTTCTACTCATAGTTGATGGCTGTTCCAGTGCATTTGAGATTATTAGCTCTTACTGCAACACCAGGATGTAAGTCATTTATCAATTATCTCAAACATAAATAGCAACACACACACACATGATAACAATATACTTACATTTCTTTACATATAATGACAATACCTAACAAATAAAGTTCATAATGTTATATGTGAGTATTCAGCTAAGCAAGAGAAGGTCCAACAAGTGATTGATAACTTGCAAATATCTTGTCTTGAGCATAGAAGTGAGAGTGATCCTGATGTGACTCCATATGTCCATGAAAGGAAGGTTGATTTAATTGAGGTATATGCTAAACTTTGTACATTATTTGATTACAATTTATGAGTTTTTTTAGCTCATTAAACAAAAAGCTATTTTTTCATTCAAGAATGGTCCATTTCCATTCGAATGAATATCAATCAAATAGTACAAGTCACATTTCTTCCCTGTTTCCATCATAACAAACACTATTTTAAGGATTTTTTTTTCCAATAATCATTATTCTTGCTATAATGGTGATAGGTTGAGATGGGAAATGATGCTCTTGAAGTAGATAAACTGCTAATGGATATCATACGTCCATATCTTTCAAGGCTTTCTCCCTTTATAGCTCTTCCAAAAAGAGACATAAATTCGGTAAGCTTTCGTCTATTTTAGGGCTCTTTTTAAGCCCCAACTTATCTGTGTTCTTTTATAAGTACAATTTCTTTCATATGAGTGTTTCCATCTCCAATATTCAAATCAGTCTAAATGCAAGAAATAGCAACATAGGAGTAGTTTCAACTTCAACGTTCTACTTTCTTTTTTCCTATAACAACATAGTACTTTCTGTTTTTTTTTTTTTTTTTTTTTTTTCTTGCATTAAACCCTATTCACTTAGCTAGTTTTGGTGGAACAAGTTTCATAATGAGAGTGTGCTGACATGGATCTTAATTTGGCAGTTTAGCCCATACGATTTTCTTGAGTCAAAGGAACAATTCCACAAAGATTTGCCACAAAACATTTCTGAAATCAAAATCCGGGAAATAGATGGGATTTTGTTCGTCCTGATCACACTATATCATATAAGGAAGCTCCTTTCAGCTCATGGTATACAACCAGCATTTGATATGCTTGAAGGCAAATTGAAGCAGGGGTATTTTTGTCCATCTTTTATCAACATTTTGGTTATTTGAGCATGCAAATATGTCACTTAAAGAGTTTTTCTTTCAAGTCCTATTGATGCTAACATTGATTAACTTCCAGGAATTTTTCTCGATTTATGAATACGAAAGAAGAACTTTGGAAAGCAAAAGCTATAATGAAACAAAACTTGGATCATGGTGTTCATAGTCCAAAGTTTCAAAAGATGTTAGAAGTATTGTCTGAACACTTCAATAGTATGTCATTGGATCCTTTTTGTTTTACTTGATGTTGCTAACTTCATAGATTACATTGACCTTTTCGTGTGTATTCCAAGAGTTTGAAGTGATTTAATATTCTTTTTTTGGAGATTCTGACAATTGTGCATATGCAGAAAAACAAGATCCCAAGAAGTCGAGGGTTATCATTTTTTCAAATTTTAGAGGAAGTGTAAGGTCAAAACATTCATTATTCTTAATCTCTAGTTCATTTTGATTTTTGCAATGAACATGATTATCATGATGCTGGAATTTCAAGTTATAAGATTTTAAATATCCATCTTAATATTTTCAGTGAGATAATGAAGTCATTATCTACCATTGGGCCATATGTTAAAGCTACAGAATTTATTGGCCAAAACTCAGGTTAGTGATCTTGTCCAGTAATTATCTTCTTACATTATAGTACTGTAGAAATCCAAATCCTTGTGTTCGATCTTTTTATATAATTTTAGGTTAAAAGGGTATTTTGGTATTTTTCACAAGGGGAAATACTTGAAATTGAACTCCATGTGTTCCATGCTCTTATACTAACTAAAGTACTTGCAGCTTTTCATTGATTCTTTTGCATAAATGGTGAACTTGCCATGCTTACTTTGTGAAACACATTTTTTTTTTTTTTTTTATAAATGTGGTTCATGAATACTGTTGATCTTGTATTACATTTATATTTTTGCACAGGTAAAAAATCAAAGGGCCAGACACAAAAAATTCAGCAGGCTGTTTTAGAGGTAACAATGTCCAACTTTTATGCAGCCATTATCTTCTTCATGTTTTTCTTTTTATGTAATATTATTTTCATAATTTGTTATTAGAAATTTCGAGCTGGTGAATATAATGTTATTGTTGCAACATCAATTGGAGAAGAAGGTCTAGACATTATGGAAGTTGATCTTGTTATTTGTTTTGATGCTAATGTCTCACCTTTACGCATGATTCAACGCATGGGAAGAACTGGTAGAAAAAGTGAAGGAAGAGTTGATATCCTTTTATATTTCATACTTCATTTCATTATTTAATTATTCAAGACAAAATTTCATAATTGGTCCCTGTGGTTTGCAAAATATTGCACTTTGAGGACAACTATGGAAAACGTTATGCCACTGGTCCCTATGGTTTCAAAACCTTGCATGAATGCTCCTTTCCAACGTTAAAACTAACTTTTCAGCTATTAATTTTAATGAAAAGACCAATTTACCCTTGAACCAAATATGCAATATACAACAAACCTCAAGGGTAAATCAAATTTGGTTCAAGGGTAAATTGGTCTTTTCATTAAAATTAATAGCTGAAAAGTTAGTTTTAACGTTGGAAAGGAGCATTCATGCAAGGTTTTGAAACCATAGGGACCAGTGGCGTAATGTTTTCCATAGTTGTCCTCAAAGTGCAACATTTTGCAAACCACAGGGACCAATTATGAAATTTTGTCATTATTCAATGATACAAATTGTTTCATAAATATAACATTTTAGTAATGTAAATTGTAAAAAGTTCCCTTAACATGCATACTAGTCTTAGCTTGTAAAGGCCAAGAAGTAAGAGGTTATTTGAAAAAACAAGCAAACAGCAAAAGTATCAAGAAACATATGATAAATGGAGGAACAAGTAGCTTCCGTTTTCACTCTAGTCCAAGAATGGTAAGATTATTATTATTGTTATTATTACTTGATTACAAATTGTGTTTATTAATTTGTTTTTTTTACAGATTCCAAATGTTTTTAGGCCTGAAAAAGTGCTGACTAAGCTGTTGATTGAAGAATATGTTCGACGTGGAAAGAAAGTGAAAAATGATGAGGCTATTCAGACACCAAAATATAAACTTAAACTCAACAACATTGAGATTGATCTTCTTGCAAAGTATTTTCAGCCTTCAAGTGAAAACGAATGGAGGCCTTCTCTTATTGCTTTTCCTCACTTCCAAGCATTTCCATCAAGAGTTCATGAAGTTTCTCATTCTATGAGAACAGAGATGCTAATCGATACAATGCAAAATTTACAAGACTTATCTTTTGATAACAAGGATGAAGAAGAGACTTCACAAGGCTACTTCAGAGCTGAAAGCATTGACATTGAGCATCACCATACCAATATAAGAGGTAACAAAAAGCAAAAAGTCAAAAATGGATTCAGTGTTATGATTTAGTATGTTTTTGACATTGGGTTTACAATATTGCAGATGATGATGAAATACAGAAAGAACCTGAAAGTGACATATTATCTCCTATGAAACCATCTGTTCACTCCTTTCTTTTTGGATCAGATTTTACATCCATTGATTCACTTGGACGAGTTATGATTCTTTCTGTTCCATTATTTTCTCTCACCAAAAATTCAACTCCACAAAACATCCATTTAGAGGATTTAGAGACATCATGTGATATTATAAATCACGTTTTTAATACCCCTGTAAAAAGTGATGATCTTCTGGAATCTTCTAGAAGGAACATCACGGAAACCCCTCTTGCTGACACCGAGTCAACCGATTCGAAAGCTGCTGAACTCAGTCCTCGCCTAACAAATCTAATAATGTCTGGTGTTGTTCCAGAGTCCCCAATAGATAACAGTGATTATAAAGTAAAAGATAACCCTACAATGCCTCATCTCCCCATATCTTTGGTTCAAAATAAGAACAATGAGGGAGAAATACAAACTCCAGGAATTGAAATACAGAATAATTCTTCAGAAAATTGTGTTTCAGTTTCTAAGTTTGTGGGAGAAACGCGAACTCCTGTGACAAAGTTGTCTGATGATATGAGTAGTAAAGATTGGATGTTAAGTTCTGGTGAAAAGTCAATTAGTCAACCGAAGCCAAGGCTTAAAAGATTACGAAAATATGGCGATATAAAAAGTGGGAATTTGTCAGATGTGGAAGAAATTGTGGGCCATAGATCTTGTGGTCAATTGGATCATTTTTCCAATAAGCGTGGTAGAGGTAATTTTTGCAAATTTTGTTCTGATTATTGCTACTTTGAGTTGTCGTAATCAATTTTGAGTTTTCGAGGTAAAAGTGATTATAATTCTGATTATTTTAGGTTAAAATAATCAGATTTGGCGAAGTAGGTAATAAGTTACTGTGAGTAAAGTGGTTATTGAAATAAATGTAAAATTACCTACCTATCCCTAGCTTTAATCAACCTATTAATCAAATCTGATTCTTACTCTTTAAGTTGCAATAATCACTTTTAAAATGCACATCAAAACATTCTCAGAATTCTCATATGATGCATTTTGTGCCAATTGAAACCTATTTTTTGTTTCAGGTGACAAAAAGGTGTTAAATAATGCCAGAGTTTTTATCGAAGATGAAGCTGAGTAAGTCTATAGGATGATATTCTAGGGATATTTTTTTTTAACAATGAGGGCGTTTACGTCTTTTGCACAGACTGCGACAATGAGTCCCTGAATGACAACTTTTTGTCTCATTTGCATCAGCCTGACCTATTCTGTTTGTAACAAAAACAGAACATTTCATCTATTAAATTGTTTGAAAATATTATTGAAGTTAATTAATAAACTAGGGTTGAATGTTGATAAAATTTCAGGGTGTCTTCAGAGGGGTCTGGTGATGAGGATGTTGACCATGGTCAAGATTCTTATGATGGCAGTTTCATAGATGACCGGATAAACCCTACAGTGGCAACCACACAAGCTGCTGAATGTGATATGATGGCCATTTATAGGTATGCTTCCATGAATTTTAATTCTGTAGACTTTCTATCACAATGTGATATTATCTGGCATGAAAGGTTATTTTGGTCACTTTGAAAAATCTACATGTAACTTCTTTTTGTTTGAGTGGCAGACGATCTTTACTCACCCAATCACCCGTAATCAGAACACCAGAGTTCCCCATGGACCCTAATCCTGATATAGACCCAATGCATGATGATGGAGGAAGTACATCCAGAACAACAAATCCCACACACAACAATACCTATTCCACATCCGTCTCTTTCAACACCGAGAGGCTCTCTTCAGCCACCGGAATCCCAACCACCACCACCGGAATCCCGAGCACCGCCACCGGAATTCGGAAAAGGAAGTTGAGTTTTTCTCATGGTGAGTCACTTCCGATTCGTAACCTAGAGAAGGAAATCTTAATAGATGCTGAATCTACTGCTGCTAAAGAGCCGCCATGGAAGGCGGCAGGAGAAGCCATGGATGATTTTGATAGTGATGAGTTTTATCGAGGTATTGATTTTGATGCGTTGGAGGAAGAAGCTACCAGACAATTGAGATCGCGATCGGAAGCGTCGGGAAAGGTGAATGATAAACCGAATGATCAAAACTTGGATTTTTTGGATTGTCCGTCTTTTGATCTGGGAATTTAAAGGTAATTTATGTCATTTGTTATAGATTTTGGGGTGTGGTGTAAATATTACTCGAATGTGATGGAACGTGGGATGTGTGTAATTATAAAGAGAAAATAATGGTAGTGGTGGAAAAGAGAAATCAAGATTTGTATATTGTGATGAATATGGACATGGATAGAAACAAGAATAAGATGCACTTTATTTAACACACTTAAATAATAGGAACATAACTTCATTTGAAAAAAAAATTAGATTTGATAAAAAGTCAAGAAAAAATTGTCCTCATTTTGTTTTTCCTATCAATATCTCTCGGGTGTGTTGTCATCTTATCCGATAATATTTACTAATATCATTTACTAAAACCAGTATTTAGAAAAAAACAGGGCCTAAGATGAGTTCAAACATGGACCCTATTATATAAAGTTATAAAATTATCATAGCAATAGAAAAATATTACTAGTTGGGTTACTTTTACATTTTTACCTGTTGTTATTATTTAGAGGTCAAAAACCACTTTTGACTTGGTTAAATAATCCCAAATGATGGAACTTAGATAATAATTACATATTACTCTCTTATTACTATTTACTACTGAACGAACATATGGAGATTCCTTTTCGCATCCCTACTAACAATCAATTTATTAAACATTAAACAAATTTTACATCTTTACCCCATTCTAGTTAAAGTTTATTTTCGCATCCCTACTAACAATTTTTTTTTGAGCCTAGATATGGCTTAGACGCACCATTTGGAGAAGATTGATGTTTTGATGTTGAAAAATGATGAGTTGATTATGAGTTCACAAGTTCTAACAAATCTTCTGGTTCTCTCTCTCTCATATAT